AGGCTGTGCTGGCCGTGCTGCGGTCCATGGACCTGGAGAGCCTCCGGGGGGCACTGGCCGAGAGCAGTGACCACGTGGAGAGGAACCCCCAGTCGCTCCTGCAGGATATGCTGGCCACCGTGGGCATCCTGGGCGACAATGAGGCCGACTGCTACTGAGCCGCCCGCAGCGACCTCCCTGCCCCCCAGCGACCTCCCTGCCCTGTCCCTCCGCTGCGGGGCCTTGTCCCTCCCTCAGGCCCGGGCCCAGCTCGGCCGGCTGCACAGGGACCCTCGGGAGCCAGGCCTGGGAAGACCAGCGGGCCAGTCATGTGTTTGGAACTGTTATTAAAGTGGCTTATTTTCTACTAAAAATCAGTACCGGTGGCAGGCCACTGAGTCAGTGCCGTGTCTAAGATGCTGGCCAGGTGAGGCTTGGAGGAGGGACGAGGAGGGACCTCCTGTGGCAGCCTCCTCCCTCCGGCCTGCGGGCCTGCCCTTGGGCCCCTGGGCCTCTGGGATAACCAAGGGTCAGAGCATGCAGCTCGGCCTGGACAGGGCCTGGTGTTGGGCCCTGGGTCCTCATGATAGTGGCCCCGGTCCAACCACGGCCGGGCTTCAGCCTCAACCCTCAGGACCGCCCTGAGCGTGTCGTGACTCAGCTCACACCCCCCCACCCCCCCGGGGCAGGTGGCGCTGCCGTGGTCACGTCTGGGGAGCTGAGGTCCAGGCTGGCCAAGCAGGTGCCTTTCGGAACCGGGCAGGCCCGGCTGCCCTTCCCTCCCAGCGTGAGCGCCCAGTGCTCAGGCACGATCAGGGAGAAGGGTCCGGAGACACTCGGAGATGACTGGACCCGGAGGAAACACCGTAACGGGGGCGCAGCAGGAGGGTGCGTGGGGGCTCGGAGCCTCGCGTGCTCACACTGGGGACATCCACAGATCGGTGACCTTCCACCTTCGGAACACCGGGAAACGACCAAATTAAACCCAGAGTGAGTAGAGGAAAAGAAATAATAAAAGAGCAGAAGTCAAACTGGAAACAGGAAACCAATAGAGAGCCTATCTAAACCACAAGCTTGGTTCTTCACCCAGCAGATCGAGGCATTGGTAAGCCTCTAGCCACACCGAGAAGGAGCCGGCAGGCATCACCGGGGTGGGAAATGGGAGGGGCCGGCACCCGCCCGCGGACGGGGAGGGGAGTGAATGTTGATGACCAAGATGAACGGACAGTCGGCCGAGACCCACACAGAAGGAGATGGTTTAACAGACCTGTTGCTGCTAACGGGACGGGATTAATAACATTTCAAATCAGAGCCGCCGGCCGAGATGGTTCCCTGGGGAATTCCACCAGACGGCTGCGGTCACCCATGCTCTGCAGTTGCTTCTGGAGGTAGAACTGGGCGGTTTCCCGACGCACTCGCCGAAGCCAGCATCGCCCTCACCAAGTCCAGACAGAGTCGGTCCAAGAAAGGGAGGGAGGCCTCCCTCTCTCACGAACACAGACGTCAACTCCGGACAAAATGAGGAATCCAGCGACCTGTCAGTCGATTCCTGTCCTGACCAAGTTGGTTTAGCTCAGGCAGGCCAGGCCGGCTCAACCTCCCGTGGTCACAGCCGCCACCGACAGTCCCGGCTCAGGCTCGGGTCACGTGGCACACCCGGGGCGATGACGGGTGCAGAGGCCAAGGTGGGAGGGTGAGCAGTTGGACCACCTGCTGCCGAGCTGCACAGCCCCTCACGGTGCCCCCCGTGCCCTCCGCGGGGCCGGGGCTTCCTGCCTCTGGGACATGCTCCCGGCTGTGCAGCGGGCTGAACTCTGACCCCTTCCCCCCCTCAGAGCACAGCCCTTCGGTGTCCAGTTTAAGGTGGGGGGCCTTCCGTACACCCCCACTTGGGCAGGTCTGGCCGACTTCTGTGCCCCTGACACCCTGTGGTCACTCAGACCACATCCTGGCCATCCGGCCTCACCCAGGGCGCTCAGGGTCCCGGGGGCTGCGCTGGACAGCAGGAGTCCAGGCTGCAAGGACAGCAGTGGGCTGCCCCTCAGGTCACGTGCCCTGGACGCGGCCACCTGCTGGGCCTGAGGCGCTGCCCCTGGCTGCGTCCTGCGGGGGGCACTCGGCCTGGACGAGGCCCTGCGGAAGCTGCAGCTCTCCTGGGCTTCCAGCTCAGAGAGGGACAAGGTGAGCCGCGCCCGTGGCGGCGCCCAGGCGGGGAGGGGGCGTTGTGAGCGGACTGCGCTGTGGCCGAGCCCGGGCGGAGTGTCCAGCCGCCCACGGCTTCCTGCAGCCTGAGCCTGGAGCCTGGGGCAGGCAGCGTGGGGAGGAGGAGGGACGAGAGGCGGCTGTCTGTCCGTCTGTCCACAGGGGCCAGGTTCAGCTCTGCTCTGCGTGGCCCACGGCACCCCCACCTCCGCCCCCCAGGGAGGGCAGCCCCCACAGGCCCACAGGCAGGCGCTCGGTCCTCCAGCCCGCGAGGCCGTGCTGCCCTCTGCCGGCGGCGTGGGGCACCGCAGGGGCGTCATATCCCAGTAAATTGTAAAATCTCAGTGCTGCCAACCCCCTGGACCACCCACAGCCTGGAGCCCGTGGCGGGGCGGAGCCTGGCCGCAGGGCCCGCCCCCAGGAGGCGGGCTTCCTCCCGGGTGCTGGTTTTCCAGACGGGCTGCGGGAGGCAGGTCCACGTCGAGTAAGACCCACCCGGGCCCACGGAGGATGAGGTGCGCCCAGCGCAGGGGAGATGGGAAACATTTGGGAGAACCCGCCCCTTCCGGTCCGCTGCTGGAGGGGCCACGGCCCCTGCGACCTAATCTGACTGCTTCTCCTTTCCTTCTGCAGAAGGCCGCTCGCTGGAACCGGGCGAGGTCAGCAGGGCATTTGAATGAAAACTTGGCTTAGGCTTAGGGTTTTGCTGTGGCCACCGCCTCTTTCTGAGAGAGGAGAGGTGTCCCCAGCAGCCAGAGCTGACCCCCTTTCTGGGGGCCACAGGCCTGCTCCCACGTGGCCGGGCAAGGACAGCGAGGGAGGCAGACAGGGACCCGCACACCCGCCCCCGCACAGGTCCCCGCTGTGGACTGAGAAGTGAAGGCAGCGCTGAGCAGTGGGGTTCTGAATGAGGACCCTGTTCTAAAGGAGTCCCGTCCCTCACACGGGGCATCTCACACGGGGCATCTCACACGCTGGCAGCATGGACGACCCGAGCACGTCAGGCAGCGGAGGGAGGGGGCGCGGGTCCCGCACACGCACCGCCACGGAGGCGATGCCACTTTCCCAGCGCGTCTGTCTGTCTGTCTCTCTGTGCCCCTGGCCTTCGGCTCTCAACTGTGACCCAACAAGCATCGTCCAGTGGGAAGGAGAAGCCACTGGCCGCAGAGCCTCCCGGACGTCGGTGGACCCAGGAAGGACCTTCTAAAGGAGCATTGAGAAGCGGAGGTTTGTGAGCGGATAAGGGTGACGCTCAGGGCACAGGTCCCCACGCTGCCAGCTCGGCCCGGGCGAGAGGGTCACGCCAGTGCCCACGGCTGCTCTCGTGTGGGATGCGGCCAGCCCGAGGGCTGGGACACACGCCCAGCTGCGTCCTGATGAAGGGCCAGGAGCACCCAGGCCCCGTCTCGGGGACACACCCTCTCCGCGCAGCCCTGACTCCCCGATTCCTGGCCCCTCAGTCTCCCTTTCTCCCCAGGGCCAGTCACTACAGATGAGACTGGAGAACCATTCCGATCCTTCCTCCCGTCCAACCTCACCCATGCCCGCCCCAACCCACGCCCTAGCCCACCCATCCAAGCCCCGCACACCCCACTTAAGCCCCAAGCCCCTACCCCAAACCTCGCCCCACCCCACCCCATTTAAGCCCCGCCCCACCCCATTTAAGTCCCAACAGACAGGACAGTGAAGTTAGCCTCGCTGCGGGGCCGAGGTAGGGGAGCGTGGCGCAGGGAGGAGGGAAGTGGCCTTGCTAATACGGGCCATGGGACATCTGATTCAGCCTTTCCTGGGAGGAAGTAAATCTCCAAAAGGGCTTAAAGAAAACAATCAGCACACACCGGCCTAGCCACCCGGCTAATGTTACAGCTCCGCGTCCAATGACAGCCACCGAGTTCAAAGGAGCGGCCACCGCGCTGCGCTCCGGGCACAAGGCACACAGAAGGGCCAGCACGGCCACGCAGCGGCTCTGCAGACCCAACGGGCCGCGTGGCTGCTGGAACCCCTCCCCGGGGAGGATGGCATCTCTCCTGCAGACACTCTGCCCTGAGCAGGCCTGTCTCCATCCGTCCCTGGGCGTTGGCCACCATCAGCCCCGAGTCTAGAGGTGCCCACCGGGCGATGCCCTGCTGTGGCCCAGGAGGCCCCGCTGGCCTGGGGGCTGCTGAGCAGCCTGGTTGGCACCGACCCTGAGCTCTGGGTCTTTCTTAGGGAAGCACCTGGCCAGTCTGAGCAGGAAGGAGGCCCCAGGTGGGAGCCGCAGCCAGCTCCC